CAACATCCACCATCAGCCCGCTGCCGACCTCAAATACCTCACCAGTCCATGGCCCTTCGCCCAATGGGGCATCGACCTCCTGGGGCCWTTCCCACCAGTGACAGGCGGGAGAAAATTTCTAGTGGTGGCAGTAGATTACTTCACAAAGTGGATAKAAGCTRAACCCCTGGCAATAGTTACAGCCCGAAACATACAGAACTTCTTTTGGAAGAACATTGTATGTCACTTCGGGCTACCTCGGGTACTGATCTCCGATAACGGCAAACAGTTCGAAGATATCAAGTTCCAAGAATGGAGCCAAAGTATGGGAATTAGTCAGAACTTCACGTCGGTCGCACACCCGCAAGCAAATGGCCAAACAGAAGTAATGAACAGAGCCATCCTCCGCGAATTGAAAGCACGATTAGACCGAGCCAAAGGTTTGTGGGCAGACGAACTATCAAGTGTTCTATGGGCTCACCGAACCACGGAAAAAACTGCCACAGGAGAGACCCCCTTTAACCTCACCTACGGCACCGAGGCAGTGATCCCGACGGAAATTGAAGTACCTACGCTGCGACTAGAAGCATACGACGAACAGACAAACGAGGGCGAGTTACACACCAACCTCGACCTACTAGACGAGGTAAGAGACCTCGCGCACATCCGAACTGCGGCCTACCAGCAAAAGGTAGCTCGGTATTATAATGCGCAAGTAAAGAAGAGGAACTTCCGTGTCGGTGACCTGGTTCTCCGTAAGGTCATGGTGCCTGAACCTGGCATAGGGAAACTTGGACCAAACTGGGAAGGACCCTATAGAGTAAAGAAAGCACTCGGTGGGGGGGCATACGAGCTCGAAACCCTATAAGGAAAACAAGTACCCCGAGCATGGAACGTCGTCAACTTAAGAAGATACTACCTATAAACCACCAAGGCAAGTACCCCGAAGCCGAGGTAAAAAACGAACTAAAGGACCGAAATGGTCAGTTCAGCAAAAACGCAGCTCGAAGATAGGACAACCAGCACTTGAACAAAAAGCCATTTCATTTCAGATAAAGGTGTACATTCAAAAAAAAAAAGAAGCCATTTCACTTCATCTTTTCCAAGTCAAGGGCTACTTCATCATTATCAGAAGCCACTTCGACAATACCCGAAAAACCTGCCTCCCCCTCGGAGTCCGGTTCGGCATCCGCAGCATTAGCCATCTCTTGAGTAATGYRCGAAGTGGATATGGCGCTGGTATCGAGSTCGGGGTACGTATTCCGGATCATCCACCGGCTTAGCTTGAAACCCCTCCTGTAGGAGTCCACCATCAGATCATCAAAATCCGGCGAAGCAATATAATCACTGACAGCTTTTTTCTTCGCGTCTTCGATGCCTTGAGAGAAGATCTAAGTCCTCTCCCTAATATCCTCCTGAAGATACTCGACCTGATGCTGTAGGTCCAGCTTCAGTTCCGCCATTTGCTTCACCACCACTCCCATGGCCTCAGCATCTCTCTGAGACCTCGCCTGCCTAGAGCGCGCGAGGTGAGCAGCCTCCTCGACAGCACGAGCAGCCTCCTCGGCAGCTCACGCCTGTCTCGAGCACCTCTCCACCTGGTTCGCCAAGGCGTGAATAGAAGAGTTCACCACCAAAGGGAAACAAGGGATCAAAGGAATGAATAGATGAGTAAAGGCCGAAGAACTCTAAAGAAGGGAGCACTTTCCACCATGGCATGGGTAACGGCACGACAGGCCACTTGGTGCAGAGGGAGCTCGGTCCACGCCGTGACTTCCTCGGGAAATATGGCCTCCTTACTCCGTTGAAGAGCGTGAATAGGCGACAACACACTCCTGAAGTCCCTCGGGGCCTCCGAGCCCGACGGCCCAGCTCGCGTATGGGCAGACTCGGAGTAAGCGGGAGCCCCTGTGTGAGTAGTTTCCGCCTAAGGAGCCCCCGCCGGCTCCTGCATAGGAGGAACCATTTCGTGCTCCATAGGCTGATCCTCCGCCGAGTAGTCCGGCACCTCGGGCTCCGCACCCTGGGGTGGCTCGGCGCGAGCTCGCTTAGCCACCCGTTTCCTCCTCTTCATGCCCTGGAACAAGTGCCCACCTCGGGTCCCTCGAGAGTCCATCGTACCTACGAAAAGGAGTTCGGCATCAGTAAAACAAGTAAAGGAAGAGCAAGGTAGGATCGCTAGGAGAAGAACCTATCCGAACTCAGGCCAGCAGCAATAAGCTTGGCCTCCGTCAGATACCATTGACAGTCCAGTCCAAGCCGCGCCCATTGCCGGAGGCCCATCGCCGTCCCTTTATCGAGTGTGACGCCGGAGTCGGGAGCGGCCATCCCCCAGCCGCTCTGAAACGGCCACCCCAGCGCACTTCGCACCCCGAAATAGTCCCGCTTCCACGTCGGGACCTTATTTGGGAGTCCGTGTAAGAGCTTGAAGCCTGGGCGAGGAGACAGGTAGTATGCCCGCCTACGCCCAGGAAGGGGACCAGCTTGCTTTTTCAGCATTAAAATAGAGGAGAAAATCTCCAAATCCAAAGGAAA